AGCCACAGTGTGTGCTAAAGCAGTCTGGCAGGTGAAGCACCTTCTGCTCATCAAAACATGTCAAAGGTCTCTCAGGTCTCTCAGTCCACAGCAGAACAGCAAATAGTGTGTTTTAAGAGTGGATGGTCATGACCATGAAAAGTTTAATGACTCTTGTGTTAGTGTGAATGTTTTTCTCACCATCCTTCCTCTGCTTCGCTCATCAAAAATGCAGACGTTTGTATTAGTCGACTAAGCTGTCAATATTTAAACCATATCTCCTCAGAAACTAGTTTAAACTATACTTCTCTTAAAAAAGTTATTCTAGAGCATAGAACTGCTTAAAAAAACAAACTACTTTAACAGAAAACATATTTAAGAAAAATGTATTTGATGTATATTTTAATTTTCTGGTTTACTTGACCGCTCTCCTGTTTACATTCAAGAACTTTACCGCAGCCAGTCACCACCAGGGGGAGCACTAAAAGTTTTGACTTCACTCAGAGTAACGGTTGGCCTTTCCACGACTGCAAACAGTTTATGCACTTAACGCAAAGACTGAAGAATTAAAAATCATAAGTGCCAAAACCTGCACTTTTTAAAGTGCCCACTAGGGGGGCGACCATAAGAAAATCCCTGGTTCTTGACCCTTTAAAAAGTACATATAATAGGATAATTTAGTTAGTTTAAAGCCTGGAAAAGTGTGCAAAAAATGACCGCCTCTGAACCCACTCATATTTTGGTAAATGGTAAGCTGAGCAGCTAAATTTACAACTTATGGACAGGTTACACAGCTTGTGTGTCTGAATTTTCAAAGCTGCAGTACTTTTCTCTGATAACAAGTGAGGGAGACAGAAAATCAAACCAAATAAATATAGACTCACTCATTTTATTCACTTCTTACTGTACTTTTAAAGTTTTTTTTTTTTTTAATAATCAGATATTTTTATTGATGCTTTTTTGTGTCATCCATAAACAACAAGACTATCACCGACAAGATTGACTTCTAATATTAAAGCCTGAAACTGATGTCAGGGGGAAAGTGTCAGTGGAGCAGATGAAGAAACAGCCCTGGTATTTTTCAATGATACATTTGACTGTCAGAGGTCAGCATGGTGAGACTTTTTGAGAGAAGATACTATTTCAGTCGAGGACAAGACAAGCAAAGACTGCTTTGACCTAATGGGGTGCCAAAATTAACTGAAAGCAAAAGTCCCTCATAGGAGCATTAAGTGTCTGATAAGATAGAAAAATATGTAGGCTGAAAATTTAACAGTGAAGTTGTGGCCTCAGATTTTTACAACTAAAAAAGTTATGTGGGCTAGAAGCTTCCTTGTGTAACACATTCTCCACAGCAAACATTAATTTTGTAAACTGATGTGATTTGACTTGTACCAGTTTATGGTACATTATTTGATTAATGAACTCAAATGGGATTTTCTTGGCTTTTAAACTTAATGAGAGTCTTTGGTTCTATTATGATCCCATAGTAGCAGACAGTATTTTATCTGGTTTAGGAAATCCCAGTGACTGAGGGCAAGAGATGAAGCAGGCAGCTCTGCTGAAAAAAGACAATTAAGATATCAGTAAAAGGAACTAGAACAAAAAGAAGTGTGACTAAAAACTTAAAACAATGAACCAAAAAAGTGAACTTGTTTATCTTTATCTGTATTAATGTGCACACTAATAAATTAGTAATGAGTGTGGACTGTTGAGCTTTGATAACTTGGTGTTTGCCGACCCCTTTACTCCTCATCATCTGATTACAGAAAATTAAGAAGGCAGCTGAAAGTCCGTCAAACTATGGCTTTACAGGAAGATGTCTAGGTGTCTATGTCTGTTTTTAATTCAGTTATTATGTCAAACATATAGTGTATACTCCGTTTACATCAAAACCAGCCGATTTCTGCTAATGATCCAGTTTCACTATAGTGTCACACTGAACCCATGTCACTCTGGGAGCTCATAATGGGACCACTACACCTTTTTCTGGTTCTGTGAAACCTAATAAACACTCCATATTTGCTCTAAAAGAGGTTAAAAATCAAACTGGGAATAAACAGCAGGGGACTCGTTGTATGTGTGTACACCCGCTTCAGTTATTACAAATGTCTCCCACTTAGTTCAACCAGGGATGCTGATATAGTTTTGATAGCAGAGAGGAAAAAAAAGAGAGGGCCAGTTAAGGAAGTGTTTGACAGGAGGCCTCTCTAAATCCCACACTCATTCATCATAAGTGGCGTTTGTGCACTCTAAAGGCCTGATAATAGCGTTTTGCATTTTCACACCGTGCTTTGCCTCCTGGATTTGATCAGAGAGCGGACAAAGGAGAAAAAGGTGAGGGGACACACATCTTCTCTTTTGTCTTTTCTTTCCCTGAACTCATCATCATCATCATCATCCTGTCCTTGCTGCTTCAAGGCTGCTTCTCTTTTCTTCCCCTCCACTCCACATTTTAGGAAAATCACTCTGTGAATTGGAAAAGGGACCCCGGGGCCACAGGCACATGCAGGGTCCATCTTTTCTTGGGATAATTGACTCTCTTTGCCTGGTAATTCATCGCTTGCATATGCCAGCTAATTCATCAGAAGAAGAAGAAGCCGGCGACCTCACAACCTTGTGCGCCCCACAACACACTCAGAATCCATACCTTCACATATCACTCCTTGTTAAAACACACATAGGCATGCGCACTCGCACAAAAACACACACACACATTCAGCTGCCCCAGCAGAGCCAGGAGCCTGGAATGAGAGGAGGGAGCAAGCGGCAAGTTAGCGGATGAAAAAGCTGAGATGATAGATGGGCTGCATTGTGGCATTATGAATGAATTATACCTCCCAAATACCTTGAGCAGTGCAGACTGTCAGCCTGTATCTATACTAATCTGGGAGAAAATATAGCCGTTTCCACATTAAAGGGGGCCGGGAAAGAACGGGCCGCAGAATTAATTGAGCAATCAGGCCATTACAGAGAAACATCATACTGAGCCTGGTTTCTGATGTAGCAACATTCATCACTGCTGACCACCAACCCGCTCTTGTTGTTTTTTCCTCTCTCTTTCTCTCTAATGTGGCCCCATCTTCAAACAGATTAGGATTATTGTGACAAGACAAAGGTATCTTTTGTCTTTCTCCATGGCCGTGTCAGCGCCTGCTGCATTTATCACGCTTGTCACACCGTCTTAAGGCTTTCAGCTCGCACACCTCGTCCCATTTTTCTTCCAGCTACGGCTCTGTGTTAAATTTGCAAAGAAAAAGTACATTATTGGGAAACATCCACAGATAAATTGTGTGCTTTTTTGTCAGATACAGGAGCTTTTGATAGCGTTTGTTTTTATCAGGTGGTTCATGAGGAAATGTGGTCCACATTTCTCTTCTTCAAAGTTTGAGCATGGGCTGCTTTTGAGGTTTTATGTATATCTGTAAAAGTAATCAGTGATTTATGAAATAAATGTCAAAATAGAGATCAAGAAAGAGAGTAAGAAAGAAAATATAGTGTTTAACCCTTTCAATTTTTTTTTACAAACACATGACTCTGGTTGTACTAACAATTTTGACAAAACCACAACTATGGAATATCTATTAATATTTGTATATATCAATTTTTATAACATTAAATTATGAATTTTTGTTTCCATCCTTGTCTGATAAAAAATGTCATTCTTATTAATGAATTTCTTTTTTAAAGAACATTTTTTTCTCATTCATATTTGTCATTAATAAGCTGTTAAAACATACAATCAAATATTGTCACAGTAAATCACATTAATCAATGCCAACTGATGTCCACATACAGATGTATATTTTAAAAACTGTCCACAGTATGAAGTAACACTTTTTTTTTACGTTTTGATATTTATACTCTAACAGATTCAATTATGTACCGGATATGTCTGGATTGTGGAAAACGTTTGATTTTTACTTTTTCCTCACTATTTCTCTTTTTAAACTTCAAAAAAAGTGACAGAAAATCCTCAAAACAAAAAAACCTCTGGAGCCTAAGGTGTTGTGTCTTTGTGTGTGTCTTTCTATTTGTTTGTCCGAGGTTGTTGTTGTTCACTGGGTAACTCCATTTTAATAGGGTTATATTAATACAAATGAATTAAGATCTTTCAGAGTTTTTGTATATTTTCTACTGAGCCCTAAGATCTTGTGTAACTTTCAACTCTTTGCCCTTTTTACAAACACTCTGTCTTTTCAGAACAACAGTAAGAACAGTGAATCATCCCTGACTAATGTCTCCTCTTTCAATAAAAAAGAGCCACTGATAAAATCACAGAAATAGAGATACATAACAATGACAAGGCAAGCCACAGACTCGGACGGGACACTTGCCTTCAGTCTCTAATATCTAACATATAGCACCCTCTGCTGATCAGACCAGAGAACTGGAGCAGTTCAGTTTGGGTTACAGAGCAGTTTCCCCAGGTAGCAAAAACAGTAAAATGTGAATTAAATGTTGGATGTCTGAAAAAAAGCAAAAGTGCAAGATGAATAAAATAGTGAGATTTAATGCTCCTAAACTGAAGCTGGTATTTAAAAAAAAGTCAGTTATCCAGTATTTATTTCATAGATCTGAACCCTGCTGCATAAACATTATTAACACAGATTAATCTGTTTGTTCACAAGCTAAAGGTGAAATTTAAAACTAAGAAAAACATGCACATACAGATTTCCCACATCTCCGATACATATACATACGGTACACAGATTTAGTTTTGTTTTTACACTCAATGGCAACACAGCTAACAATTAACCAGCTTTTGTTTTATCCTTTGATTTCATTTATGCATCTATTTATCTAATAAAAGTCTTCCACAAACACACACATTTACACACACAATGACAGTTGGTCACAATAAAAAAACATTGAATAAACAGTTGAAATATGTATGTTGCTTAATGTCAAGGAGGAGAGTTTTAAAGAGTTGTCAAAAGCTGTGCTTTTTATGGCACTTATTTTCATAAAAAAATGATATTTATATACATTTTGTTAGCTCCTGGGATGAGGGCAAGATTTCAAACATGATTCGAAGGTGAAGATTTGTCTGCTGTGTTCAAAGCACTCAGCTCATGACCATTGGAGGACAGATCTGTGTCAGAGTCGACATTTTTCTCCAGTTTGGCTCTCAAGAGATCATTCGCTGGAGTCGTCACCACCTTTAGTCTCTGTGAGAAGAAAAGAAAAAAAACATTAGAAAAAGAAAAATAAGGTTAAGTAATCTTAAACTCTGTATGCGTGTAATGTAAGAGTACCTGTCTCAGAGTTCCTGGAGTTACCGCCAGACTGTAGAGGATCCACAGAGGAGCCACGAGGACTGAAGTCAGAGCAAGGAAAAGGCCCAGAGCGTAACCCCACCAGGGATACTCATAGGTGTTGTTGTATCTCAGAGGGGTGAATTTAACCAGAGTAAACAGCAGCATGCCCTGTGAAAACACACAACTTTGACTGAAAACAAAGAGGAAAGTGTGTTTAAGTGGGTCCCAGTCTGAGGTTCAGGCGACCAAACGAAGAGAAGCCAGAGATCTCAGGGGGAGTCAGGTTTGTCTGCTCCAGGGTTGTCAAAATTAGATTTGTACGTATCAACTAACACCATGATAGCATTCTTGAGGGATGGTTTGTAAAACTGTGTAAGTTGTAAATCAATTTTTCCTTACTTCTTTGGGTAAAAACATTAAAACTGATGTTTATTTCTGACAGAACTTAAGATGAGCCTCATGGAAAAAAGGTTGGAAACCATTGTCTTAGAGTTTACTTAACATAAAAATGACAATTTTGTCTTTAAGGAACACATATTCTTTTCATTTACTTACTGTGGATACACATGGGATGATGTACTTCCAACAAAATTTCATGTAAGGTGAAGGGCGATAGCCTATCATGTCCTTCAGATTATTGTAGTAATTTTCTGCACCTTGGAGATAAACATTGTAGGATTCATGGGTCAAACATTTTGATTCAACAATTAGGACATTTAAAAAGGCAAAATAAGGAGTAAAAACTTGTCAGGTAATTCATCATGCAAAGTCAGTTTTATGGCTGCATGAAACTGGACCAAAGTGCAAATTTCCCAGCTATCTGCATCTTGTAGAAAATGGTTTTGTCTCTCACTTAAATGCCTATGAAGTGCTGATAGACAGATTAAGGTAGTACACGCATCTCACCATAAGCCCATCCTACACAGACAGACTCCAAAATGGCGAAACTTATCGATGGAATTCCACTGCAGGCATAGTAGTCGAAAAGCTGGAACACATACAGTCCTCCCTGCAGGAAATGAAGAAAACAAACGAATGAAAGAGAGTTTGTTTTCTTCTTCATCAAGAATTATTACCCATGTCTCAGAAAAACAACCATATATTTTCAACATTATCCATGTCAAAGATTCTTAAATAATGGCACATTCGACTGTTAAAATCAGATTTTCTCTTCCACTTGGTTGAGATAAAACATTATCTGCTGGGGTAAAATAACAGACTCTTGTTTTCTGAGTGAAATTCTTGTGTTGTTTGACCCACCAAACTATGGACAAAAAAATGACTAATGACTCTTTTCCAACATTAATTTAAACTCTCGTATTGAGTATCTGATATTGCTGAAGTTGGGTTTTTACTGGATCTAATTTGGAGCCGGGTTCCTCTCATAAAGACCATTTTGGATGTCCTGTGAGTCTGAAGATTTTGATAAAGTAGTACTGAGAACAGGCTCAAGCTTTAAGCACATGAACAGTGGGCAAAAAAAGCACCACACAAACAAATAATGTATTTAAAATCACAAAGTTACACAAAAAACTCACTTCGGTGACCATAAAGAGCCCAACAAGGAAAGACACGGCACAGGAGAGCAGCAAGAGGAGTTTACGTCTGTGACCAACGTAGAAGAAGGATGGATACAAGTCTGATACAGATGTAACCAGAGCTTCCAGGTAGACAAACTGTGTAGGGAAAGATTCATAGATTAAACTTCGACTCTTTATGTGAAATGAATATCTCTGAAATTAAAATGGTACATGGCAGAGATTGTTTTTGCTCTTGTGACTGCAGGATGACTTTCACATATTGTTTTTCTCTAAGGCAGGACTGTTTCTGTTAGCAGTACTGTTTGAACGAGCCGGCATGTTAGTTTTTATTAAAACTACTGAAAAAAACTGCTAGTTTTCTTCTATTTCGTCAAAGCCAAAGCCAAAACCAGGTTTAAAAATTCACTTCTTAAGTTGCTGTCTTGCATACAGTAATTAACAGAGTTTAATACTGTTACTTCACCTCACTGTCCAGCCCAAGTAAGATTATCATGATGAAGAAGAAGGCAGCCCACAGCTGGGGTAAGGGCATCATGGCTACTGCCCGAGGATACGCAATGAAAGCCAGGCCAGGACCTAGAAGCAGAAGATATCAATATTTATTATTATATTTATTTATTATTATTATTATTAATAAATAAATAAAAAATACATTATTATTTATTATATTTATTATTGTTAGTACAGTTATGGGCAACACAATACTATTCATACTATTGTCTTAGTTACAAATCACAAAGTGTCAAACCTGATTCAGCCACTGTTTTGATGTCGACACCCAGCTCATATGACATGAACCCGAGGACGGAGAATATTGCAAAGCCAGCAAAAAGGCTGGTAGCACTGTTCAGTAGACACAGAGCAAAAGCATCTCTGTGAAGGAAAAAGATATGAAAAGTTAGTTATATCAACAACAAAAAAAACTCAGAATAAATCTTTGTCCTTACTTGTAGCAGTTGTTGTTGAATTTGTTGTAGCTTCCCAAAGATGCCGCACAGCCTGTGCAGACAGCATAGGAGAATAAAATCTGGCTCCCAGCATCCATCCACACCTTTAAACAATAAAATTAAAGTGAGTATTTCTGGTTTTATTGTTCAATTCTTATCACTCACACTCACACACACACACACACACACACACACACACACACACACACACACACACATACCTCAGGGAGAGACATAGAAATATCAGTGTATGGACCAATAATGTAAACCAACCCACCAATCATTCTCTCTCGCTTTCCCTTATCTTGTTCTCTCTCTCTCTCCCCCTGCCCTCTCCCCTCTCTCTCCCTCCATCTCTCTACATTCCTCCCCAACCCAGCAGCGGCATGGTGGCTGTCTAACATGAGTCTGGTCCTCCCCAAGGTTTCTGCCTGTTAAAAGGAAGTTTTTCCTTGCCACTGCTACTCATGTTAGTTGAGATGGGCCAAAACCCATCTTAGGTTGGTTCTTGATCATCAACTATCAGCATGGTCTAGACCTGCTCTTGTTCTTTGTCGCCGCCCCCACCCTCTGGAACTCACTCCCACTCGAACTCAGAAACTGCACTGACCTCACCAGATTCAAGACCCTTCTCAAAACCCACCTCTTCCGCACTACCTTTCATCCTTCCTAGCCCCCCCCCCCCATTGGATTTTACCTGATTCTACATGTTTTTATTGACATTGTCGTAAATTTTATTACTTATTGATGCGTGTTTTATTGTTATTTGGATTTTACCTGATTCTACATGTTTTTATTATATTGCCGTAAATTTTATTACTTATTGATGTATGTTTTTATTTCTTAAACTCTGTACAGCGTCTCTGTGTTTTTGAAAAGCGCTTTACAAATAAAATGTATTATTATTATTATTATTTGAAAAGCGTCTTGAGATGACGACTGTTGTGAATTGGCGCTATATAAATAAAATTTGATTGATTGATTGATTGATTGAATCACCCAGATTTGTGTCTGACCTGAAGATCAGCCAGACGAGACGGGTCAGGAGACAGGTAAAACCTGATACCATCTGCGGCCCCTGGTAGTGTCACACCACGGATCAGCAAAGCAGTCATCATTACATAGGGAAACGTGGCTGTGAAGTAGACAACCTGTAAAAAGATACAGAAGCATGGGTATGGGTGAGATCAATCAAAACTTGCAGCCGAGTTTGATTCAGTCCCTCAGGATTGTCATGCATTTGCTGAGGCAGAGAATAAGAGAGCTGGTAAAGTTCAAGTGCCTTCACAAACAAATCAAAAAATGCAACACCTACAAATAAGAGAGGCAGATAAGAGAGTTGAATGAGAAATTTAAATCAAGGGAGCAGGCGGAAATAAAGACTCAATCAGGCAGAGATAAAAAAAAAAAAAGACATTTCATCTTTTTCAACACATCCACACTGGCAAGAAAAAAGAGATGTGAACAAATTTGTTAGCCAGATCACTTTTCCTGCAGACTTGACTCCTTTCCAGATACAGAAGTAACAAATAATCCAGCTCAGCAGAAGACACCCAGCGAGGTCCCAGCGGACACCGCCCATCTCCTCTATTCCTGTGGACAAACCCAGGACTCTCCTCCTGAACACAACAAAACACATGTTTATAAACCATGTCTCTAAGAGTCGATTTCCTCAAAAATGAACTTTTGGTGTTAAGTTATAGTTTTTTAAACATCACATACTGCCAGAATTCTTCAACTGAAGAAGTTATATTCTGAGAAATATTGACTTTTGAAGAATGATCCATGTGATTATCCACACAGTACTCTGGCAGTGGAGAAGGAAGACAAGTTACAACACACTTTGTTGTATGAGAAAGGGAGAGAGAGAACAACATTATAAATGGTATAACCGATTATCCTCTTCAAATGTAGCCATATAACATAATTAACTAACACTTTAGAGTATGTGTTTACTTTTACCCGTGTTCCAGGTGTTGTTACAGCTGGCCCAGGGGAGAACATCATGGAAGGTGGAGAAGAGGTAAAGGAAAGCCCAAGCCAGGATGACAATATAATACATCACAGTGTAAAGCATCAGCACCAAACTCCCTATGCCTATACCTAAAGAAAAATGATAATACACCAAAATTATATACAGTACAGGCCAAAAGTTTGGACACACTTTCTCATTCAATGTCTTTTCTTTTTTTTTTATATGACTATTTACATTGTAGATTATTACTGAAGGCATTAAAACTATGAATGAACACATGTAGAATTTTGTACTTATAAAAAAAGTGTGAAATAACCGAAAACATGTTTTGTATTCTAGTTTCTTTAAAATAGCCACTCTTTGCTCTTGATGACAGAAGTACCTTGTCAGGGTTACTTCAGGCACTCCTGTGAAGTAAAAACCATTTCTGGTGACTACCTCATGAAGCTCATTGAGAGAACAGCTAAAGTTTGCAGCGCTATCAAAAAAAGCAAAGGGTGGCTACTTTGAGAAATCTAAAATATTAAACATGTTTTCAGTTATTTCACACTTTTTTCTTAAGCACATGATTCCACATGTGTTCTTTCATAGTTTTGAGAATCTACAATTTAAATAGTAATGAAAACAAAGAAAATGCATTGAATGAGAAGGTGTGTCCAAACTTTTGGCCTGTACTGTATTAGATCAACTTTATATATTCATCAGTATGCTCCCATAGTCTATCCTGTATACAGTGGGACATTTGCTGAGCTCTACCTTCAAATAAGGGACATATGTTTCTCCAACATGTGATTCCACTTTGACCAGTTAACTGTCCCAGAGAAACCTCCAGGAAGAAGGTGGGAATCCCAAAGGCAAACAGGAAGAAAAAATAAGGGACCAAAAACGCTCCTACAAGGCAAAATCATGTGAAAACAGCACAAGAGGTCAGAACAATCAAAGTCTTGTTGATAAATGCAGCAAGTCATTTTGTGTTTCTGTACATTGTCTTTATCTCTATTATTTGAACAGTAAGATTTTTAATCAAATTATTACCTCCTCCATTTTTGAAGCAGAGATATGGAAATCTCCAAACGTTGCCCAGACCAATAACCTCTCCAACTACTGCCAACAGAAACTCCCTCTTGTTGGCCCACTGGCCTCTCTTATGACACTTGGGAGGAGGTGAATTTGGATTATTGTCACCTTTCATCACTTCTATCTCTGGAGGACTTTCTGGCTCCATTTAGGACAAGTCAACTGCTGGAAAGATCAGATGAAAAATAAAAGTGTGTGTAATCGGACTTTTAGGACATTTATCATTGCATTTCTCCTCAGGGATAAATAAAGTTCTCTGTCTAACCCTAATGCATTCACATGACAAACTTGTTTTTTTTTATGCAGATAAAGCTCTTGATTTATAGCTGTACTCACCAACCCCATAATCATTTTTTAGAGTGTATTCTTCCAACAGTCGTGTGCGTGGTGTGTTTGCGCTAAACATGTCCGAGCAGATCAGCCTTGCTCTCAGCTTTTATCAAACATGAACACAGAATTTTAAGTTGTGCTGACTGAATACACATCTATGTTACGGCAAAAATATCTGTTGAAAATTCACCCACTATTGAGTTAAGACAACTTTATTTGAAGTCATTTAGACCAACTTATTAAATTATCATCTCATTATAATGCATACACATGATAAAACTTTTTTTAATGCAGAAAAAGCTCTTGATTCTGAGCTGTACTTACTAACCCCATGAATCACTTTTTAGAGTGCACTAACAACTCTGGAGTTTGTTTGTTTTTTGCTCCCATTTGCACTAATACAGCGAGCTAGGATGCAAATACCTGTTGGTGGTAGTTTCTGGTGGATGAAGCTCTAATCCTTATACCAAGCCTCCGTTTTATGCTAGTGTCAGATTTAGTTTCAAATTTAGTTAAGCCTATAGACTGTAAATATTATGGACAACCTGGCGCCTGTATACGGATTTGAAGCCAAAAAGCTCTCGGTAATTCTGGGTTTTTTTCCACTTCCTTGAAGCCAGAGCTGCGCAGTAGCGATGCGCACATTCGGCCGCGCTGTCGCCAAGAGTTCCTGTGAGGACGCTCAACTTAAACAGCGTCTCCCCCCAGGCGAGCTACGCAATCCCTGAACGCCCATAGGCTGTACCGGGTGTTAATCATAGTCTGACTCAATTTATTTCCTCAACGCCCTGCATTCTGCAACAAGTTGTCTCACGCAAAAGTAAATAAAAAGCTCTGCACTGCATTCATTTGCTTTCATGACAAGTTTACACTCATAGACTGTATATGCTACTGACATCTTGGCTCCACCCTCTGTCATTATTTTAAGAGTCGGTCATAAAAAACATGAACCCCCTAATAACTTTTAAAAATGGAGCTGCACAGAAAAAAGAGGACTTGGGCACAAACCAGTCTTACAATAACTACATGTCAACATTGCAAGCAGGGGGGAAAAATGTATAGTCTCTGAAATAAATTTCTAAAGTTTGTCCACAGCCCCATAAGCTTTGCTGGCGGAGGCAGGATTTATGACCTGTACTGCAGCCTGTCACCATCAGAGGGTGCTGTTCTCGTGGTGGCTTCACCCAGCGAGGAGGCAGACCGTCCATTCTTTGCATAGTCTATTGTTCAGCCACACTATCCGTAGGTTCAAAGGGTGGTCTTGCAATCTAAAATTGCAAATTAGGTACGGCTATTAATGCGCATGTGGCATTGGTTCACACATTACTTGTCCATACATAAATGAACATAATTTTAAGTAAAACTTGTGTTGTTGTAATAGATTTATTATAATTATCAAAATATGGACCATGGGTGTTTAAGCAGAGCACTTTGAGAGGAACAGTTCAAACCAATACTCACAGGCTGAACAGGGGGTCTTACTCTAACAATGTCTGACTTTTTCTCCCCCTTGAACTCTCATGACCATGGAGATCAATGTTTAACTCTGCAACAAGCACATCTGAGAAACATTTATATTCATATACATCAACCTACAGTTACTTGAAGTCAGTGTCTCCATTTTGTCTCAAGCTTTGTCATATGAAAGTACATTTTCACGGTCAAAATTGTTATTTTTTATTTCTATTTTTCCAAAATTATGTGGGTTTTTTGTCGTCAGTTTTTAGACAGAAGTTACAAACGCCAGTTTCAGTGAAATTGGGATTTTGTGAAGAATGTGAATAAAAACAGAATTCAATGATTTGCGAATCCTTTCCAACCTGTGTTCAACTGATGCTCTAACAAGACAAGGTATTTAATGTTTTTTTTTTTTTTTTTTTTTTTGCAAATATTCTCTTATTTTAATTTTGATTCCAGCACCACTTTTCTAAAAAAAAAAGCTGTGACAGGGGTATATTTACTGTTACATCATCTTTCCTTTGAACAGCTCTCACTAAGTATTTGGGAACTTAGGGTACTAATTATTGAAGTTTTGAAGGTAAACTCTTTCCCCATTCTTGCTTAATGGACAACTTCAGTTGATCATCAGTCCAGGGTCTCTGTTGTCATATTTTGAGTTTCATAATGGGCCATCCATTTTCAGAGGAAGACAGCTCTGGACTGCAGGCCGGCCACGCTTTTACTACGAAGCCCCGCTGTTGTAACACATGCAGAATATGTCTTGGCTCAGGGATGTTCCTGAAAAAGACGTGTCTCTGATGGCAACAGATACAATGTGTTGCTCCAAAGTCTGTATGTACCTTCAGCTTTAATGGAGCCTTCACAGATGTGACAGTTACCCATGGACAGACCATCACAGCGGCTGAACTTTGAACTTTGACCTTTTAACAGTCTGGATGATCCTTTTCCTCCTTAGCTTAAAGGACACCATGTCCATGACTCCAAAATAATCTTTAATGTGGGCTCGTCAGACCACAGCACATTTTTCCACTTTGTCAGACTAGCTCATGCCCAGAGAAGCCAACCCTATCCTTGCTTGAGAATGGCTCAGTCTTTCATGTCCCATTTATGTCTAACTATGACCCTCACCTGTTTCCAATGAACCTGCCCACCTGTGAGGTGTTTCAAACAGGTGTTTTTTTAGCATTCCTCAGCTTTCCCAAACTTTTTAAAGATTAAAATTAAATTATCATCTCATCTTAAATTAAAGATGAGAGAATATTTGCAAATAAATAATGAAGTTTATTAGTTTGAACATTTAATATTTGTCACTGAAGAGAAATAAATTGAATATAGTTAGGAAAGCATTAGCAAATCACTGTATTCTGTTTTTATTCACGTTAACACAATGTCCCATCTTCTTTGGAATTTGGGTTTTTTGTCATTTTTATGATAGTGTTTACATTTTTCTGTAAAAAAAAAAAAAGTCAAATTCTTTGATATTCTTTTGTAGATGAAAAACATTTGTGACTTTTTGTACAACACAAGGTTGCAAAGTTACGAAATATAAATCTATGCAGTCATGTAAGGTTAGCATTTCATCAAATCCTTACTCAAATATTTTACAATCCAAAATTATCCTCCACTAAAAGCTTTTGAGTTAAGCAAAATTAGACAAACATTGAATTCTGACTAAAATAGCAAGAAACTGCCATTGGGATCAATGGAATTTTGTCAAAAGCTGTGGTTTATATAGCACTCATTTTCATAAACAATTATATTTATATACATTTTGTTAGCTCCTGGGACAAGCACAAGATTTCAAACATGATTCGAAGATGAAGATTTGTCTGCTGTGTTCAAAGCACACAGCTCATGACCATTGGAGGACAGATCTGTGTCAGAGTCGACATTTTTCTCCAGTTTGGCTCTCAAGAGATCATTCGCTGGAGTCGTCACCACCTTTAGTCTCTGTGAGAAGAAAAGAAAAAAAAACATTAGAAAAAGAAAAATAAGGTTAAGTAATCTTAAACTCTGTATGCGTGTAATGTAAGAGTACCTGTCTCAGAGTTCCTGGAGTTACCGCCAGACTGTAGAGGATCCACAGAGGAGCCACGAGGACTGAAGTCAGAGCAAGGAAAAGGCCCAGAGCGTAACCCCACCAGGGATACTCATAGGTGTTGTTGTATCTCAGAGGGGTGAATTTAACCAGAGTAAACAGCAGCATGCCCTGTGAAAACACACAACTTTGACTGAAAACAAAGAGGTAAAGCATGTTTAAGTGGGTCCCAGTCTGAGGTTCAGGCGACCAAACGAAGAGAAGCCAGAGATCTCAGGGGGAGTCAGGTTTGTCTGCTCCAGGGTTGTCAAAATTAGATTTGTACGTATCAACTAACACCATGATAGCACTCTTAAGGGGTGGTTTGTAAAACTGTGTAAGTTGTAAATCAATTTTTCCTTACTTCTTTGGGTAAAAACATTAAAACTGATGTTTATTTCTGACAGAACTTAAGATGAGCCTCATGGAAAAAAGGTTGGAAACCATTGTCTTAGAGTTTACTTAACATAAAAATGACAATTTTGTCTTTAAGGAACACAAATTCTTTTCATTTACTTACTGTGGATACACATGGGATGATGTACTTCCAACAAAATTTCATGTAGGGTGAAGGGCGATAGCCTATCATGTCCTTCAGATTATTGTAGTAATTTTCTGCACCTTGGAGATAAACATTGTAGGATTCATGGGTCAAACATTTTGATTCAACAATTAGGACATTTAAAAAGGCAAAATAAGGAGTAAAAACTTGTCAGGTAATTCATCATGCAAAGTCAGTTTTACGGCTGCATGAAACTGGACCAAAGTGCAAATTTCCCAACTAACTACATCTTGTAGAAAATGGTTTTGTCTCTCACTAAAATGTTTATGAAGTGCTGATAGACAGATTAAGATAGTACATGCATCTCACCATAAGCCCATCCTACACAGACAGACTCCAAAATGGCGAAACTTATCGATGGAATTCCACTGCAGGCGTAATAGTCGAAAAGCTGGAACACATACAGTCCTCCCTGCAGGAAATGAAGAAAACAAACGAATGAAAGAGAGTTTGTTTTCTTCTTCATCAAGAATTATTACCCATGTCTCAGAAAAACAACCTTATTTTTTCAACATTATCCATGTCAAAGATTCTTAAATAATGGCACATTCGACTGTTAAAATCAGATTTTCTCTTCAACTTGGTTGAGATTGAAAATTATCTGCTGGGGTAAAATAACAGACTCTTGTTTTCTGAGTGAAATTCTTGTGTTGTTTGACCCACCAAACTATGGACAAAAAAATGACTCATGAATCTTTCGCAACATTAATTTAAACTCTCGTATTGAGTATCTGATATTGCTGAAGTTGGGTTTTTACTGGATCTAATTTGGTGCCTCTCATAAAGACCATTTTGGATGTCCTGTGAGTCTGAAGATTTTGATAAAGTAGTACTGAGAACAGGCTCAAGCTTTAAGCACATGAACAGTGGGCAAAAAAAGCACCACACAAACAAATAATGTATTTAAAATCACAAAGTTACACAAAAAACTCACTTCGGTGACCATAAAGAGCCCAACAAGGAAAGACACGGCACAGGAGAGCAGCAAGAGGAGTTTACGTCTGTGACCAACGTAGAAGAAGGATGGATACAAGTCTGATACAGATGTAACCAGAGCTTCCAGGTAGACAAACTGTGTAGGGAAAGATTCATAGATTAAACTTCGACTCTTTATGTGAAATGAATATCTCTGAAATTAAAATGGTACATGGCAGAGATTGTTTTTGCTCTTGTGACTGCAGGATGACTTTCACATATTGTTTTTCTCTAAGGCAGGACTGTTTCTGTTAGCAGTACTGTTTGAACGAGCCGGCATGTTAGTTTTTATTAAAACTACTGAAAAAATCTGCTAGTTTTCTTCTGTTTCGTCAAAGCCAAAGCCAAAACCAGGTTTAAAAATTCACTTCTTAAGTTGCTGTCTTGCATACAGTAATTAACAGAGTTTAATACTGTTACTTCACCTCACTGTCCAGCCCAAGTAAGATTATCATGATGAAGAAGAAGGCAGCCCACAGCTGGGGTAAGGGCATCATAGCTACTGCCCGAGGATACGCAATGAAAGCCAGGCCAGGACCTAGAAGCAGAAGATATCAATATTTATTATTATATTTATTGATTATTATTAATAAATAAATAAATAAATAAAAATATTATTCATTATATTTATTATTGTTAGTACAGTTATGGGCAACACATACTATTGTCTTAGTTACAAATCACAAAGTGTCAAACCTGATTCAGCCACTGTTTTGATGTCGACACCCAGCTCATATGACATGAACCCGAGGACGGAGAATATTGCAAAGCCAGCAAAAAGGCTGGTAGCACTGTTCAGTAGACACAGAGCAAAAGCATCTCTGTGAAGGAAAAAGATATGAAAAGTTAGTTATATAAAAAAAAAAACTAAATCAGAATAGATCTTTGTCCTTACTTATAGCAGTTGTTGTTGAATTTGTTGTAGCTTCCCAAAGATGCCGCACAGCCTGTGCAGACAGCATAGGAGAATAAAATCTGGCTCCCAGCATCCATCCACACCTTTAAACAATAAAATTAAAGTGAGTATTTCTGGTTTTATTGTTCAATTCTTATCACACACACACACACACACACACACACACACACACACACACACACACACACACACACGCACACACACATACCTCAGGGAGAGAAATAAAAATATCAATGTATGGACCAATAATGTAAACCAACCCACCAATCACCCAGATTTGTGTCTGACCTGAGGATCAGCCAGACGAGACGGGTCAGGAGACAGGTAAAACCTGATACCGTCTGAGGCCCCTGGTAGTGTCACTCCACGGATCAGCAAAGCAGTCATCATTACATAGGGAAATGTGGCTGTGAAGTAGACAACCTGTAAAAAGATACAGAAGCATGGGTATGGGTGAGATCAATCAAAACTTGCAGCCGAGTTTGATTCAGTCCCTCAGGATTGTCATGCATTTGCTGAGGCAGAGAATAAGAGAGCTGGTAAAGTTCAAGTGCCTTCACAAACAAATCAAAAAATGCAACACCTACAAATAAGAGAGGCAGATAAGAGAGTTGAATGAGAAATTTAAATCAAGGGAGCAGGCGGAAATAAAGACTCAATCAGGCAGAGATAAAAAAAAAAAAAAGACATTTCATCTTTTTCAACACATCCACACTGGCAAGAAAAAAGAGATGTGAACAAATATGTTAGCCAGCTCACTTTTCCTGCAGACTTGACTCCTTTCCAGATACAGAAGTAACAAATAATCCAGCTCAGCAAAAGACATCCAGCGAGGTCCCAGCGGACACCTCCCATCTCCTCTATTCCTGTGGACAAACCCAGGACTCTCCTCCTGAACACAACAAAACACATGTTTAGAAACCATGTCTCTAAGAGTCGATTTCCTCAAAAATGAACTTTTGGTGTTAAGTTACAGTTTTTTAAACATCACATACTGCCAGAATTCTCCAACTGAAGAAGTTGTATTCTGAGAAATATTGACTTTTGAAGAATGATCCATGTGATTATCCACACAGTACTCTGGCAGTGGAGAAGGAAGACAAGTTACAACACACTTTGTTGTATGAGAAAGGGAGAGAGAGAACAACATTATAAATGGTATAACCAATAATCCTCTTTAAATTTAGCCATATAACATAATTAACTAACACTTTAGAGTATGTGTTTACTTTTACCTGTGTTCCAGGTGTTGTTACAGCTGGCCCAGGGGAGAACATCATGGAAGGTGGAGAAGAGGTAAAGGAAAGCCCAAGCCAGGATGACAATATAATACATCACAGTGTAAAGCATCAACACCAAACCCCCTATGCCTATACCTAAAGAAAAATGATAATACACCAAAATCATATATTAGATCAACTTGTATATTCATCAGTATGCTCCCATAGTCTATCCTGTATACAGTGGGACATTTGCTGAGCTCTACCTTCAAATAAAGGACATATGTTTCTCCAACATGTGATTCCACTTTGACCAGTTAACTGTCCCAGAGAAACCTCCAGGAAGAAGGTGGGAATCCCAAAGGCAAACAGGAAGAAAAAATAAGGGACCAAAAACGCTCCTACAAGGCAAAATCATGTGAAAACAGCACAAGAGGTCAGAACAATCAAAGTCTTGTTGATAAATGCAGCAAGTCATTTTGTGTTTCTGTACATTGTCTTTATCTCTATTATTTGAACAGTAAGATTTTTAATCAAATTATTACCTCCTCCATTTTTGAAGCAGAGATATGGAAATCTCCAAACGTTGCCCAGACCAATAACCTCTCCAACTACTGCCAACAGAAACTCCCTCTTGTTGGCCCACTGGCCTCTCTTATGACACTTGGGAGGAGGTGAATTTGGATTATTGTTACCTTTCATCATTTCGTTCTCTGGAGGACTTTCTGGCTCCATTAGGACAAGTCAACTGCTGGAAAGAGGACATTAGGACCTTAGGACATTTATCATTGCATTTCTCCTCAGGGATAAATAAAGTTCTCTGTCTTACCCTAACCCTAATGCATACACATGACAAACTTATTTTTTTATGCAGATAAAGCTCTTGATTTTGAGCTGTACTCACCAACCCCATAATCATTTTTTAGAGTGTATTCTTCCAACAGTCATGTGCGTGGTGTGTTTGCGCTAAACATGTCCGAGCAGGTCAGCCTTGCTCTCAGCTTTTATCAAACATGAACACAGAATTTTAAGTTGTGCTGACTGAATACACATCTATGTTACGGCAAAAATATCTGTTGAAAATTCACCCACTATTGAGTTAAGACAACTTTATTTGAAGTCATTTAGACCAACTTATTAAATTATCATCTCATTATAATGCATACACATGATAAAACTTTTTTTAATGCAGAAAAAGCTCTTGATTCTGAGCTGGACTTACTAACCCCATGAATCACTTTTTAGAGTGCACTAACAACTCTGGAGTTTGTTTGTTTTTTGCTCCCATTTGCACTAATACAGCGAGCTAGGATGCAAATACCTGTTGGTGGTAGTTTCTGGTGGATGAACCTCTAATCTTCATACCAAGCCTCCATTTTATGCTAGTGTCAGATTTAGTTTCACATTTAGTTCAGCCTATAGACTGTATATACTATGGACAACCTGGTTCCGCCTTCCGCCTATATACGGATTTGAAGCCAAAAAGCTCTCGGTAATTCCGGGTTTTTCTCCACTTCCTTGAAACCAGAGCTGCGCAGTAGCGATGCGCGCATTCGGCTGCGCAGTCGCCGAGAGTCCCTGTGAGGACGCTCGGCTCAAACAGCGTTACCTGTTCACCCCCCGGGTGAGCTACGCAATCCCTGAACGCCCATAGGCTGTACCAGGTGTTAATCATAGAAAACATGAACCCCCTAATAACTTTGTTACATAGTCTGACTCAATTCATTACCTCATCACCCTGCATCCTGCAACAAGTTGTCTCACGCAAAAGAAAATAAAAAGCTCTGCACTGCATTCATTTGCTTCCATGACATGTTCACACTCATAGACTGTATATGCTACTGACATCTTGGCTCCACCCTCTGTCATTATTTTAAGAGTCGGTCATAAAAAACATGAACCCCCTAATAACTTTTAAAAATGGAGCTGCACAGAAAGAAGAGGACTTGAGCACAAACCAGTCTGACAGTAACTACATGTCAACATCGCAAGCAGGGGGGAAAAATGTATAGTCTCTGAAATAAATTTCTAAAGTTTGTCCACAGCCCCATAAGCTTTGCTGGCGGAAGCGGGATTTATGACCTGTACTGCAGCCTGTCACCATCAGAGGGTGCTGTTCTCGTGGTGGCTTCACCCAGCGAGGAGGCAGACCGTCCATTCTTTACACAGTCTATTGTTCAGCCACACTATCCGTAAGTTCAAAGGGTGGTCTTGCAATCTAAAATTGCAAATTACGTATGGCTATTAATGCGCATGTGGCATTGGTTCACACATTACTTGTCCATACATAAATGAACATAATTTTAAATACAACTTGTGTTGTTGTAATAGATTTATTATAATTATCAAAATATGGACCATGGGTGTTTAAGCAGAGCACTGTGAAAGGAACAGTTCAAACCAGTACTCACAGGCTGAACAGGGGGTCTTACTCTAACAATGTCTGACTTTTTCTCCCCCTTGAACTCTCATGACCATGGAGATTAATGTTTAACTCTGCAACAAGCACATCTGAGAAACATTTATATTCATATACATCAACCTACAGTTACTTGAAGTCAGTGTCTCCATTTTGTCTCAAGCTTTGTCATATGAAAGTACATTTTCACGGTCAAAATTGTTATTTTTTTATTTCTATTTTTCCAAAATTATGTGGGGTTTTTTGTCGTCAGTTTTGAGACAGAAGTTACAAACCCCAGTTTCAGTGAAGTTGGGATGTTGTGAAGAATGTGAATAAAAACAGAATTCAATGATTTGCAAATCCTCTCCAACCTGTGTTCAACTGATGCTCTAACAAGACAAGGTATTTAATGTTAAAAGTGATAAACTTTATATTTTTTTTTGCAAATATTCTCTTATTTTAATTTTGATTCCAGCACCACTTTTCTAAAAAAAAAAAAAAGCTGTGACAGGGGTATATTTACTGTTACATCATCTTTCCTTTGAACAGCTCTCACTAAGTATTTGGGAACTTAGGGTACTAATTATTGAAGTTTTGAAGGTAAACTCTTTCCCCATTCTTGCTTAATGGACAACTTCAGTTGATCATCAGTCCAGGGTCTCTGTTGTCATATTTTGAGTTTCATAATGGGCCATCCATTTTCAGAGGAAGACAGCTCTGGACTGCAGGCCGGCCACGCTTTTACTACGAAGCCCCGCTGTTGTAACACATGCAGAATATGTCTTGGCTCAGGGGTCAGTGGCGATTGCTCTAAGACTGCAAGGGAAGCTCGGCTTCCCTTAAAATGTCACCCCCCAAAAAAAAGAAAAAGTGGTGAAATACGTACGGCTGTGTGTACATTTCATTAACTAAATACGCACTAGAAAGCCTTCATCTTTTGTTCAGACACTGTGATAAGAAGCTGATAATCACAGGTAACCGGCATAACTTCGTTCTCATTCATCCTCGCAGCGCCTCAGCGCTTTAAACAGCGGGACGCTGGGCTTCTGCTGACTTCAATGTGGAAGCTTAAAGTGGGTTGTTCCAGCAGCGAAACTAGACGCTCATTGGATAAATGCTGGGCTTTGTCCCGCCCATCGGACGCTCAGCTTCACTGGAGTTCTATGGCGACAGGGCGGTCCCGACTTTCTCCCGGACTCCGAGCTTCTGCATCCATGATTGGATGAGCTGTCTGAGGCGAAATCCTTTTTTGATTGACAGCTAAACAAGCGAATCAGCGATCTTGAAGAATAAAACATCTACCAGAGCATTTTCCAAGTTATTCATTCCGTTGTTCTTAACTGCTCCGGAGGCTTTACCGATCCTCAGCGACTTTTGTCTTTGTTAAAAACGACTGCTGTTTTGTTTGGCGACTCTGTTCTGTTACATACTAATAATCAAATACAATTATGATGTAGGCCAGAAAAATGAGCTTCCCCTCCTTGAAAGACCAGCAGCCGCCACTGTCAGGGGTGTTCCTGAAAAAGACGTGTCTCTGATGGCAACAGATACAATGTGTTGCTCCAAAGTCTGTATGTACCTTCAGCTTTAATGGAGCCTTCACAGATGTGACAGTTACCCATGGACAGACCATCACAGCGGCTGAACTTTGAACTTTGACCTTTTAACAGTCTGGATGATCCTTTTTCTCCTTAGCTTAAAGGACACCATGTCCGTGACTCCAAAATAATCTTTAATGTGGGCTTGTCAGACCACAGCACATTTTTCCACTTTGTCAGACTAGCTCATGCCCAGAGAAGCCAACCCTATCCTTGCTTGAGAATGGCTCAGTCTTTCATGTCCCATTTATGTCTAACTATGACCCTCACCTGTTTCCAATGAACCTGCCCACCTGTGAGGTGTTTCAAACAGGTGTTTTTTTAGCATTCCTCAGCTTTCCCAAACTTTTTAAAGATTAAAATTAAATTATCATCTCATCTTAAATTAAAGATGAGAGAATATTTGCAAATAAATAATGAAGTTTATTAGTTTGAACATTTAATATTTGTCACTGAAGAGAAATAAATTGAATATAGTTAGGAAAGCATTAGCAAATCACTGTATTCTGTTTTTATTCACGTTAACACAATGTCCCATCTTCTTTGGAATTTGGGTTTTTTGTCATTTTTATGATAGTGTTTACATTTTTCTGTAAAAAAAAAGTCAAATTCTTTGATATTCTTTTGTAGATGAAAAATATTTGTGACTTTTTGTACAACACAAGGTTGCAAAGTTACGAAATATAAATCTATGCAGCCATGTAAGGTTAGCATTTCATCAAATCCTTACTCAAATATTTTACAATCCAAAATTATCTTCCACTAAAAGCTTTTGAGTTAAGCAAAATTAGACAAACATTGAATTCTGACTAAAATAGCAAGAAACTGCCATTAGAAACAATGGAATTTAGTTCATTCAGAATTTGTCTAGTATCAGCACAAAGTTGTTTTTCAGTACCTTCATGTGTCTCCAGAGTCCTGCTGCATTGTTTGGATGGACATTCACTGGCTGAAACCAGTTCTCAGATATACTTTTGAGCTCAGTGAGAGGACCAGTGATGGTGAAGAGAGTTCCTTGCAGTCAGTGGAGGTTTGCATGTGAGTCGCTCCTTAAGGTCATGTCTCAGGTAATGAGTATCTTTTTGTGACAACTCCATGAGGCATTTGACCAATGGGAGAGGAAAAGTGGCGGCCTCGATCACTCATCTGTTACTCGGTAATATTGTTCTCAGGTCAAACTGTAGCCGTGGGTTTGCTTCCAAAATATTTGGAGTTTAGCAGTGTAGAATTCAGGTAAAATGCTTTTACCTGAACTCTACAATACAACTAAATCCCATCTGTTTGAACTGGCTTAACCCATCTGACCACAACTCAACTATCTGTTCATTTAAAACTTTTTAAATTGTATTTTATTACTGTTTGTTATTTAATCTCTGTTTGTTTTAATGGTGTAAGGTGACCCTGAGTGTCAAGTATTATTATTATTATTATTATTATTATCATAAATACAACATAGGCTGTGCTTATTTAAATTCATATCAATACTTTCACATGGGAAAAAGTTGTCTTTGTCACAAATTGGGCAAGCTCCCAGGACATTCAGGACTTGATCAGGAACTTTTTGTTTTTGTGACCTCATGATCTCTATATTTTCACCCTTCTCTTTTGAGTAATGTGGGGAAAGGGGGTAATGATTACATTATACTTCTGGAATAACTTGTCCTAGCAATTTTTCTTGTCCTGAGATGACCAAAGTCTCAGTCCAAAATCTTGCTCATGTTTTACCTCCAGCCGTAACTGCTCCAAAGTGGGCTGTCTTGTCATATTTCTGAGAACCACCAACCACAAAAAACCCACCCTGAAGACAGGGAAAAAACAGAGAGTATAAGTATCTCAGAAGCTGTGTCCAGCAACAAACTACTGTCACAGCTAATTAAAATATGTTGCAGAGGAAATGCTGTTTTGGTAACAAAGCAATCTACATAAGGTTTATGATTTTGAAGTACATCCACTTTCTTTATCAAATATAGGTTGTTTTGGTTTGGTTTGTTTTTTTTTTCCCATTGGATATTGGTCAGCCCACCATTCTGTTGAGAAACTGGCAGAGAATTGACAAAGACGCCAAGCCATCCGCGCAGACAGGGTCAACTGTCCCTTGCATAACTAATCTGTTCCTTAGCAAGATCTTCTGTGAGTGATACACTAACTATCATCAAAGACCTCATAAAACCTAATTTCAAAGAAGAAAAAGAACAGTTCCTTTTATAAGGGTGGTGCCACAGTTGTCAACAAATATTTGAATATCCAGGCATTGAGATATTAGTATCAGGAGTCTTTACATTATGAGTTAGTCATAGTCATAAAACCTGCCTTTGAAAGTTTTCACATAATTTCATGTCTACTGTAGTAATGTATTAAAATTCCTTGGTTAAATCTGCAAAACTCTTTATTCATTAACTGTACAGAGATCTATATCTTCTCATTTCCAAAAGTACAGCTCACAGACTAAAACTTGCTAAACGCTCCTCAGATCTATCTGGCCCTTGCACTGTTATTTTCTTCGAGAAGTTTGTCATGAATTTAGTTTTACTGAACTGTGCTAGTGCAGTCATCTACCAGACGGTAATATATTGGACAATGTTAAAGTGGTTCATTTGTAAATTCAACTGATTATCTTATTCAAACAGCCAAAAAAACTCCCATTTTGATAGTTCATTGACAAGCATGTGATTAAGTTAACAAGCAGCTTTAACTGGGATTTTTGAGAGGGAAACCTAAACATTTGGTGTGTTGACATGGACGTTAGTATCTCGCTCATTAGCCATATCCCCATATCCAAGTTTGTGAAAACACGCATCTGAAACAGCCGTTTATTTGTGTGTGTGGTTCAGTCTGCAGTCATTACCTTTCTCAGTGAAGTTTTAATGTCAGCCACCAAGGGGCAGCAAAACATCCATAAACATCCATAGTTTGGCTGCGTTTACACTTCAGTCAGTTTCTGTTTCTGAATTCCCTATATATATTCTATTTTCTTACATCTGCAAAAACAAGATGAAAATAAAAGATTGATCATATGGTCAAGACAAATGACTGAGAAAGATAGACACGTTTAGATGTTTAAGGTCATTCCAGTCTGTAATGTGTAACTCAACCTAAAAACTAAAAAAGGAAAGAAAATTACAAAATTCATAGAAAATTAGCTACAAGCTCATTTTAATTTGTTTTCTTGCTTTACCTGTTTCAAACAGACCTCAGATTATCCTTTAATAAAACACTGTTAAAATGTAAGAACCATGCATTTTTGGTACAAATAACACAATTGAGGGTATGTTTGGAGGTGTCTCCTGCTAGCTAACCATGACTCCCTGTCTCTTGCTTGCAATTTAAATCTTTTTATACAGTTAATTTCCTGTCTTGACTGTCTTTGGCATATGTTATGGCTAATTATTTTGATGTATACACTGCATTATGAATCATATATGGTATTGTATAGTCCTGTCATTAAATGTTTGAAGCATCTATCTGAGATTGGATTTAAGTTTGGCTGCCTCATGTTGGTCATCTTCTATTTAGATGTTTGTTAGTGTGGCCTAACTGAATCAATATGGACCAAATAAAATCCAAGTGCCTCACTGGCACTCGATAAATATTATTGGCTGTATCCGGAGTGGATCCCTAACTCCTGTATAGGTGACTAAATGGGGGTTAGGGATTGAGTGACTCATTTCGGACACAGCCTTAGTTAAAACAGCGTTTATTTTCAATCATTTCAATGTCAATGAAGTTGTGTTGGTAGGAGCAGAATATAGGCCAAGTTTCACTCAGAGTCCGGCGGGAAGAAATCCGGTAAAAGCCGTTTGGTTTTTTATGCCCAGACTATCCCTCTCGCGCCAGTCCTTTTCATCTCGCGCGCGGTTTCAGTTGCCTTTCGCACGCTTCGCAGTAAGCCAATCAGAAGAGAGCGTTCCCCGGAAGCGTCCCGTTGCTATGCGGTCGTCCTGAAACCTTCCCTGTCCTGTCCGGTACTGAGGTGAGTTCTGCTTAAACTAACAACTTTTAACTTTTCCGGAGACTTTGCAAACTAATTCAAACAAACTGCTGTGAGTATGTTAAAAAGAGCAGGTTTTTGTTCAGCACAAGTTCCCTTTGTTGACAGAAATCCTGTTATCGTTAAACCATCAGTACTTTGGTGCAAGGTTTGGGAGTATAAAAAGTGAATTAGTTGAATCAACAGAAACCCGGGGCTGTGCATAAATGCCAGAATCGTGTTATTGGTGTGTTGCAGCCTGTCAAAACTGATATACATATTAGAGTCGGGTTGCTTGAGTCCTGTAGGCAGCCAGGCTCCTGTATGTAGTCTCTCTGTTGTATGGGCAGACACGCCTGTTGCTAAACGCCCCTCCAATCCCCTCTGAGAACACACCCAAAACATTTGCATACATCCAATGATCACAGCTATGCAAATAATCTTCGGACTCGTTGTGTCCCTACTGGTTTTAATGTGAAGTTACCAGATTCATCTCATCAGTTGCAGCATAGTGGACTACAGTCAGACAGCCAACGTGTGTTTAGTCGAGAAGACACCAGGATAACCGGCTAATAACCGATCAAGTCTTTGCTCTGAAAGCGGATTTGGATTTTATGTACAACATGACATTTGAAGAACTAAGTGGGGATTATTCTCAAGAAAGGTAAATAATACCTAACAGTACTGATTTGGTTTACTTATGTCTGATTTTTTCCGTGCATGTGTTACTCTGTTCATCTGCTGCACTGCTTTGTATGGAGTAACGTCACATGCATCCATGAATGCATTATGGAAATGCTCATTCCTGCTCTAACTGGCGATTTAAAGCCTGCTCAAAGCTCATAAAAGCTTTAATTTCAAACATAATGACATCTTTTATGAGACTGATGTTATAATACACGTTTTCATAAGTTTTCTCAGTGCTGCAAAGTTTCTAAAAGGCAACGACAATGTCAGAACAGCTAAATAAACAGTTTGAATCTTCCTCTTTCATTTTTAATATCTATTAAACCATTATATCCGCATAAACTTGGTAACTGTCGTCTTGACTTGATATGTCGCAATTGACCTGTACCGGGGTTAGCTTACAGACGGGCTAACGCTAGCAAGACTGTAAGCCGGTGGAAAGTTTCTCCCGTGGTTTTAGTGACCGTGTTAACGTCGAGTTCTCTGTTGGTGTTTTGCAGAATGGATTCAGTGGCGAAGGCTCTCGAAGAAGTCCTCACCTCGGCGTTACCTCAGGGCTGTATAACAGTCGGAGTGTATGAGGCTGCCAAATCTCTCAATGTGTAAGTACAAGGTTATATCAGCAACCATAAAGTCACAAACAAATGGCAAACATCTCTCTTACATACTCTTAACAGTCAGGAATACTTTTGGCTTAATGTCTAACAGTCAGTTGTATACAGTGTTTGATTAAAATGCAATTAAACTAATATATTTATTCTTTCTTCTCCCTCATCAGAGATCCTGATAACGTGGTTCTGTGCATCCTGGCCACCGATGACGAGGACGTCAAAGATGTGGCCCTGCAGATCCACTTCACCCTCATCCAGGCTTTCTGCTGCGAGAATGACATCAACATCCTGAGGGTCAACAACACAAGGCGTCTGGCCGAAATACTGGGTGGAGGAAGCAATGGAAAACAGAGTGGGGGTGAACCTATGGACCTTCACTGTGTCCTTGTTACTGTAAGTATCTTTTCATCAATTAAAATGTGCTGTACCCACACCACTTTTTTTTTTGACAAAATTGTGTACAAGAGAATGAGTGAAACTACTTTTCAAGAAGAACTTGTCTGTACTTGTATTGTGCATTCAGTAAACATGTGCATAACTCCTCCCTCACATGACTTCTGAGGAATTTCAGTTGAGCATAATCACGTTTCCCTCTCATGTCTGCACACTCAGAGATTGTTTGTAATGTAGGGCAGTCTAGACCTACATGAGTGTATTAATGTGCATTTAATAATCGATTATTTTTTTGTTCATATCCGCAGAGCCCACACTCTACATCATGGAAGGACCCTGCTTTGAGCAAAGTGAACCGATTCTGCAGAGAGAGCCGATGCATGGACCAGTGGGTGCCCATCATCAACCTGCCTGAACGATGAACTTGTGGCTGCAAATGGACTGTAACCTGCACCCAGTGCGTGGTGTGAACCCTGATGGACACATTACCACCCAGAGATCAAATTCCAAAGCATTGCTCATGGGGCGAGAAAAAAAGGAGGATAAAATAACCTGCTGTCTACATGGGGTGTATTTAAAAGAGAGAAAAAAGGAGCAGAAGGATGGATATCCACTTTGGACAGGACTGTTTGGAGTCGTGTTTGTCTGTTGGAGATGGTTAAACAGTTGTGCTGTCATGAGGAGGGGAAAAAAAAGCATATGTGTGCTTTTTAATGTAACACCGGACACTGTACAGATGGATTGTATCATGTGTGTTTGGTAAAGCCTCTGTGACACGTCAGGAGAGTGGAGAGAAACCAGAAAACAGAGCTGTTGAGTGGACCAAGGCCTCTGCCTCTCTCTGCAGAAACAAAGCACTTGTTGAAACACTGGACCTTTTGCAATTTCACTTATATAATTTCAGTTGTTAGTGTTAATGTTCCTATTGTTGTAATTTAAAAAGGGAAGGGCTACACATCCAGTGAAGACATTCTGTGTATTAAATGTTTTCTATGCCAGCTGTTTTTTGCGACAAGTGAAATGATTCATTTGTTACAATTTAAGTTATTTCTAATGATATTTAAGTGTATTTATGTTTCATTTTTCTACCTAAAATATATGAATATTTGCAGAATCTGAATTCATATGTATTGCTGTCAATAAAAAGTATTTTTTTTTGAGCCAGAACTGCACAATTTCTTTTTTTCATTTCTGGAAGTTTTAGCTGAATTCTGACTATTAGCAGCTGCAGTTGTAAAGAAGAGTCACGTGCGGATCACAGGGGTCATGTTGGCCTCTGTGGCCTTGGTGCCCACTCTGAGCTGAAGAGAACAATAATCCTCTGCTTTGGTCAGCAGGACCATGTTCATTCATGCAAACAGGTTCCCTTTCACTGATTCCCAGTGATTTGTTGGACAGTTTGCATTTTCAACAAATGACTTCCTGGTGTCATGTGACGCAAGTATACTTTTTGCAGAGTGAAGCCAGAAATATGGGCCCAAAGATTTTATAAAAAGTATGAATCAATAAAGGACTTATAGTAGAGTATTATTATATATTGGAAACAGTAAGGAGATTTATACTGTGTATATTGTCACCTCTGCCCTCAATACCAGAGTGTGTTTGTGGTGTAGATTACTGAGGAGCACATGACTGCTTGGAAACTGTTGTAAAGAAGGGAATGGCATGCAATCTGTTGTGAAAGCCGGTCTGAACTGCTCCCTCCACTCCCTCACTCCTCTCCTTTACAAACTCAGTTCAACACACTCACAGGTGATCTCTCTGGAGTTGAATGTCAGTGACGTAATCAAGTTTTTGTAAGGCGGGCAATCCCCACTGAAATCGCAGTGTCATGATCACGAGGCTGTCCTCAAGTTGCACAACCCCATTCGCTGCCTCATGTGAGAGAGCTCATATGACAGGGTTTTATGGGGCCGAATTAAATTCTTTTATCAAATAGAGCAGATAGCATTTGCTGAATAAGTAGCTGCACAATACAGCTCTTTCATGATGTACTTGCATTACAAAAAAGCAATGTGTTTTATGTTGACCGCATTGCAAAACATGTTTCAGTTGCATTGATTTTCTTAAGCTGCTTGTATTGCATACCTGTGAGATCAATAGTGGTGTATCGAATTAATTTAAGCATGAAGTAGGTTAGTTATGATTTTACTGTACTCACAGCACATTAGCATGTTTTCAGTTGAGTGAGGATTAATGACTCGTCTAGTTTTAGCACACGATGGATGGATGGATAATTGAGGAAAATGGATGGATGTGGATGGATAGATTGAAGAATTTAATAATGGATGGATAGATGGATGATTAGATAGAAGAAGTTAATGATGTATGGGTGTATGGATGGATGGATGGATGGCAAATGCTGGCAACGAGGCAGAACCTAATGCAAAAGTTCATGTAGATATTTTTTGGTCTTATTGCATTACCCAGAAGACCCCGCTGTGCACATTTAAGGTAAAAAAAAAAAAAAAACTTTAAGGCAAAGAATTGCACTTTGACAGCTAATGACATTTACATAAACCAACATTACAGTACAGTTTACAGTGCGCCTTTAATAGGATTGTTAAGTGAGTTAATTGTTCTTCTGCCATGTCATGAGTTACTACTTTTTGGGGACTAAAAGAGGAGGTACTACTTCAAAAGCTTGCTGTAAAACTGGGTCTGATACCCAGATCTAGAATTTCTGAAGGGCAGGTTTCTTATCAACACTCTATAGCAAACAAAGCTGACATTTTTCACTCTTTACCGTAAAGGGTGAGGTATTATCAGTTTTGTTTGTATATAAACTGTGAGCGAGTTGTAAGTTTTGCAGTAAATCATGTTGTATTGCTGGCATGTGACTTTTGACGCATTTACTGATCACATGGCTCAATATTTGGTACTTTTCCTGAACAGAAAAAAAAACTGTATCTAAAGGTTAGCTTTATTAATGTTCAACTTTTTTTTTTTCCAGTGGGGAGTTAGTAGTAGTTTACAAAACTGTCTCTTCAAAGCAGCTTCCCCAACATGGCATTTTGTCAACTGTATAATTAAAATTAACAGGTTTTTAATGCGCTTTATGGGGTCAGTATGTCAATACACATGCAGAACTAATGAAGTCTGTAAAGTACCAGAGGGTACAAAAAAAAGCTACTGTAGTTCAAATAACCAGGCTACATTTAAACCAGACCCAGTTCAGGACTTTCAGAATCATGGAGTGCTCCCCTGCCCCAGAAAACGCTCCTCACTCTGTGGTTTCAGTCGGCACTGTGCTAAAGGTTGAGTGGCGTGTGACTGTAGGGTGTGACGATGTCTGATGTAATGTGGCATTGTTGTGATCTGAGGGAAAAAGTTATTTCAGGATTGAGCAGTGGAAAGCTGATGTAAGTGTCACGGCGACACTTTGGCCCCACAGTGAAGCCGGTCCTAAAAAGGGACGACGTTTGCATACTGCTCAAGAGTCTGCTGGCTGTGTGTTTTGTGGGTAAAAGTTCAGGTTGAGCATTATCTATGAGTGACTTAAACAGAGCAGGGCCTGATGATTGACTAAGCTGGTGTGCTTTTTGAACTGTCTTATTGAAGGAAACCTGTGGCGCATATTGTCCCACCAGAGTCAGTGAATAAAGAAAGATATTTTACTCTCTTACTGTGCCCAAGATAACATACAGAATTCAATGCACTGGACTGGGTAAACAGGGAAAGCTGGACCTGTGGTGAAGAGAACAGGGTGACAGAATGAAGGGAAATCAGAAAAGAGTGTGCAGTTATATAATCAACAAAAACAAAACTCTGTCCTAAACTGCATGTCTCATCAGACCTTTAATTAAAATCTCACGACAGTACTGTGGAAATAAACTCAGCATTTACTTCTTAAATTCAAACTTCTGATCAGTCATCAGCAAGTTGAGGTAAAAAGTGTGAATGTCCACTAAGAGTCCAGATTACAAGACAAATATTGAAACTTTACTGGTACTTTATACCAAGAATTTGCTAAATGCAGGTTAATCAGCACCACTAGTTCTGTAATGTTAAAACTGATCCAGGGATGTGAATCTGTGAGAGTGTAAACTGCAGTTTCATGAGGGCTGCAGGGTAGAAAAATGTCTGCTCTGTGTAATTTTATAATCAGCTGGGCCTACCAGAGGAGCAGAGGTGCCACTGCAGTCCACTCTACATCCTCTCTCTCTCTCTCCCTCCTCTTCCTCTCCCCTTCATCAGCACATTCCTGCACACTGACACTGTAACTGCCAGGACAGATTTTCACCGAGAGGCACATGGTCAGTTAGCAGCTGTCACCCTCCCTCTCTGTGATTCTCACATTGCTGCACAATGACTAACTGGGATTACAGGGGAAGTATTACTAATGGGGCTACTAGCTTCAGGCCCACAGAGGCAACCATGCTCACAGAGAATACCAAACTGCATGTCTGCATTGTGGAAATACTTAGGAAGAGTTTGTGAATTTAAAATTTTGAAAGTGTCAGGATTTATAATGCTTAACTTTAGTGTTCACCAAGCTCCTCTCAAACTCACAAACGTGACTTCGCTGTTTTCTTTTCCATAGAATATTTCATCATTCAAGCAGGGGTGTGTTCAGATGGGGACACTGACTCCTGCAGGGGTGGAACAAGATAAGTATGCACACACACGCAGACTGAGTTTTGCTTTTGTTTTTATATGATAAAGTTACTTCGAATCTGTCGTAGAGTTATAGGGCCAGGGATGTACAAAAAACTGATGAGAGGAGGGAGATTTTATTCACTCTGCACTTTGAGAATTAAGTCTAAATGTAAAGAATACAGTACAAATTTGGAAAAAAGACAAATTTCAATTTCTGAGAAAAAAAAGTAAAGAGTTCATCTTGAGAAAAAAGTGGACAAACAATTACAATAAAGGAGTTGATTGTTACTCAGGGGAGGCAACACACTTCTGCATAAACCTGTGATGTTGCTGCTTAACAACCTTTGACTTTATTAATGGATTACATTTATACTTTTTTCTAAGCATTATGACTTCATACACGAATAATTTTAGTTCTTATTCTAAAAAATAAATTTTAGGGGTCATAGTTTCACAGAGATCTTAAAATAACTAATAATATGAGACGGTTTTATGTCATCATGGGTCAGTTTCAAGTGTGAGAAAAGTCATATTCAATGTAGTCTTTTGAAGGTTTTACAATAGGTGCTGATGTGTTTTATTCTAACATAAACCTCGCTATTGTGTGCAGGAGGGAATTTAACAACTTGTTCATCCAGCAGCTGGTGAGAAACAAGGTCAGAGAGACTCGAGCGGCTACCAGAGAAAGAAAACAGACTCTCAGGCAGAGCAGACACTTTCTCAAAATAGTTTCACTACTCTTCAAGAGCGGAAACAGGGTTTGGTTCTGTCTATCTTTAGCTCTGTTGTGTTCCCTGGAGTCTGGCAGACATGGTGAGAGGACCTGAGGTCTTTCCCTTCTCTGCTGTGATATAAATACACTGCTAATGGGAGGAAATGGACACAGATACAGAGTGAGCAGTTTCTATCTGCACAATACAAGAGAAAGATCTGGAAAGATTATATCAAGACAGCACTGGTCGAGTTCAAATATTCTGACTGTGCAGCACAACACATCTTTATTGAGATATTAGTACAGTATTGCACTGTAGGAATGCTTCACTTTATTAATCTTAGTTAAGTCTTCATACAAAGGTTGATATATTAATAAAGACATTTATCAAAATGCAGATTCTGACAGTTAAATTAATCCATCAATGGTGCTGTAAGGCGGTTACAGAATGGACAGAGATGTCAACATGGCAGTGGTAATCTGAACTCTTCCTCAAAAGAGTCCTTAAATGATTTATTGCAAGTAAGAAGAACTGACAGTTAGACATAATCATAAAAAATACAACTGGATAATAACAGCAGATCTCGCTGATTTGAAGACCTGAACGTACCCTTTGGAGAGAAGGCAACAATACCAGAACAGCTGAAAGCTGAAGCAGAGCACCAGGTAAGTGAAACACCATTTGACACTTTCTGCTAGTGACACAAAGACAAAAACAGATGGCACGATATTGTTACGAATCACCTTCATCCCACAGATAAAAGCATTTGATAGAAACATTTTGAAAGAAAATGCGCTCATTAAGAGTGCTCTTCTTGATACAAGGCAGAGATAAGTAAGGCTTTAGAGTGTAAGAGATTTAATTTATGCTACCTATTCTTATTTACTTTAACAACAGCAGATATGCTCCCCTCAAGAATCACAACATGAAGACACATTAGACTGAAGATTGAACCCCACCCCCTTCAACACTAATGTTTTTGTCTTTAAGGAAAAAAACGTACTCTTGTGTATTTTTAACATTAATACTTATGGACATATGCAGCTGTAACACTTGTGCTCAGACGATTCGAGGCAACAATGTGCACATTTGCTAAACTAAGACACTTGTTGTGATCCGTGAGAAGAAGGCGTGCCTCACAGCGTTGCACAACACCTGCTGGCTTTCTGTCAGCGTTCCAGAAATAGAGTACCAGAGAGCGTTTTTAGAAGGAATGTCCAAAAATAGTCTCATTCAGATGCATTTTTAGATGAGCGGAAATGCAGTTTCACCGGTTTGGCTTGGTCCCAAGTTACTTTTTAAATGAAATGTCAGCTGACACTGAAAGGAAAACAAACTGAGAGGAAATCTTTCAGTGTTTTGCAGCTCTGGGAAAGTATCACAGCACTGGGTCTTATTACGGTGATGGCTTACATCTGAGCAGAGATGATTTCGCATTGAAGGTTTTTGAGATCTTGGCACGATGCTTCATTAAATCAACAGACAACACTTAATCATGGTAATCATACTGCAAATACCACTCAGGGATAGAAAGGATTAAATGTGCATGTGGATTGTCTAAGAGATGCGATTCAAGAATACTTTGTTTGAATGAACACCAGATTTAGAGAAAATACTGCCCCATTAAAGACGTATGATGATAACATTTGAAAAGACATTGAAGCCTCTGAAATCCAATTATCTTGACTGCAAGGACAAGTCAAATACTGTTAAGGATGAAGCCACCATTAACCATCTTAAAACGAACAAACTTTGAAAGTACTGAGGAACTTTGGCTGCATGAGTCCATTTAGGAAACAACAGTCACAGCCTGATGGAAATGAGAGAGTTCAAATAGGAAGCATGAATCAATGAATCACAAAGTATCCTGACAAAAATATCTGCTGTTTAGTATCATTTGAGTAACAAGCTGTCTTAGCTCAGCATTTTTAAGGAAAATGGTGTTTGAATATCATTAAAAGAACAGGTGAACACGTGGTAATGATACAATCACAGTCCACCTCTCACTCTCATCCCAACAAAAAGAATACGGCAACATTAATAAGCAAAAAAAAAAAAAGAACAAAACACATTAAGGCTAAGTGGCATCCACTACAATATAGTGCAGGGTTTTTTATCCTTGAAGGGATTATCTGAGGTGGGGATGCCCATGAGGAGAGGGTCGTTTCTGGCATGTTCACTGCAGTAATTCATAAGGTCCGCAGAGGCCTTCGATACCTTTAGAAACAAAAGAGAACAAACACAGAGACGAGGCTCAGCGTTAGTTTTCAACAGAGGTTCAACAAAGAATACACATTTATAAAGAAGACAGAGGAGCTAATACTTCTGTGGGTCATTTAGAGAACCGCAGGAGAGAGGAGTTCCTCCAAAGGGGCGGGTGGTATGGGCCCCTCTCACAAGTGTGGCCCCAAAAAATTATTCTGTGATTGGCTATTTGACTTGCCAGAGGCGGGACTCTAAACAAAGTATTGGCACAGTGCTGCCACAAGCAGCAGTCTGCGGTCCTTAAAACTGTAGAAACACTTTTCAGTCATCTACTTTCCAAACAGGTTTGTTGTGTTCCAGTAATTAGACCAACAAAACTTACGACAACCTGACTAATTGGTTGAAAATATGTTAACTGGCCACATTTTCATTCCAAAATGTTAGTTTGACATTCAAGGTTTCAATGCGATAAAGTTTCAATTGTTGCACAAATGCAAACACTTTAGTTTGTAGAGTCTGTTACATTATCATGTTTAAAGCTACTTTTGAAATAAAGTAACAGAGAAAATGTGAACATGGCCACAAAATAGAAACAGAAGAACGAGGTAAAAAAATAAAATAAAATAAAACATAAATGAATGTAAAGTTGACTAACGGATGGATAAAGGCAATTTTTTTTTTCAATTTTTTAGGGGTGCTGAAAAAATAATCAAGTTATGTAATTGAGAAAAAGAAATAACTTTAAAAAATGAAGTTTTAAAGAATAAAAGAAATAACTGAAAAAGTGGCTCTCACAAGACTGGTCACATGTCTACTAAAATCAGCCACTAACTGCAGTTTTAAATTGAATTTTATTTATATGAACTCTACAATACCCCCTGTTAAATTTGACCTGTAAATACTTAACTATTAACCAGGATGAGGAGACATGAAAAAGTCTGACATGAAAAAAAGGGGGATGTACTGTAACTGCTGCTGGTGGATCACACAAAACATATTCTGAGCTGGATTGAGAGAAGACAATGAAGTTGAGTGTGTTGTGGTTGCAGTTTACCTTTATCCTCTCGATGCTCGCCTCTATTTTCAGCTGCTGCACTGTTCGCCTGGCATGGGCGATGTTATTGGAGCTGTGAGTCTTTGAAGACATCCTGGGCAATGCAACACTGCAACGAAGAACAACAAAGAAAACACTGAATAACACTGAGGAAATGGGGACAATTGCATGCAAGTGATTTTTGCATGTTGAGCAAGGAAGTAATGAGGTTTCACATACAAATGAAGATTGATGCAAATATTTGTTTTCCAGGAATATTAAAGCTGTTGGATCATAAGGAACTTGTATTAAACAGAGCCAACAGCATGAATTATTGAGGGTGTTAAATCAATCCACTGTCAGTATGCTTCAGGTAAAACAAGCAGGTGTTGTTTTTCCAACTTAGCAACTTCTCTTCGATGCTTCCTCTTTCTCTGAAACTCTGCTCTCATAGTGACATAACCAATCATCAAGTAAACACAAAGTTAAGGCACGCCCACAAACACGCAAATTCTACTAAACGGAGCAAAAACCTGCAGCAAAATTTGACGTTTTGGATGAAGAGTGTTGCAAGCCTTCAGGCGGTGCAGAGCCCCAGCTGCCAGACACCACACAATAACAGTGCATAGTTTCAGCGTGGACACTGTGAGCTCAGCTGATAGGTGCTTACTGCAACAATGGCTGAAAATCTGGCACTGCAGGATATCCATATTTAAACAAAAAGCTGCAGCTTTGTGAAGATTTCACTGTTGAAATATGTGTCTGTGTGTGAGAAGGGGCTGATGTGTGGGAGCGAAGTTGTGACTCTGCTTCCTGTTAATCATTTACAGTCTAGATGGGAACAAGCCTGGACACATCCTTCATGGAGTCCATGAGGGAGCTCCGGCTGCACTGTCTCCCCCCAGTGCTGATACTTCCTTTTACTGACACTGGTCTGTTCTTCTCACACAAGAGTATTTCCTTTTTTTGTTTTCTTTAGAAAATTTCTCAGCAAAGAACAGGAAGCCTCTAAGACAATTTCTCAGAAGTTTTATGGTGAAATGAAGAAGACAAGCTGCTATAGTCTCAGAGTTTATTTATATACAGTGCACTCTTTGTATGTGTTAGGTTCCACACACATACAGTTAACAGCTTTAACTTCACTTTTCAGTGAAAAAACACTCCAAATTTTAGTCATGCGTGTAGGGTGATGAGAAATCAGTCCAGTCATAGTGACTGTAAATAAATATGTAACACACGACGGTTCAGTGGACCGTATTTACACACCAGCTATCTCCCTCTGAGGTCATGCTATGCGTGTGAAGCTCAGATGTCATCATGATATCATACTGTCAGCAAGCATAACACAACCAAATTTTTTTGCTAGGAAGTGGTTGAATGCTTTGTAATGTTAACGTTAGCTAGGCAGTGGCATAAAGCTAAAACTTTTTTTTTTTTAAAAGACATTTCTTTCAGTTTTTGCCTTTATTGATAGGACAGGTAGGAAGTCTGGAGAAATAGAGAGAGGGGGGAGGACATGCAGCACATGGCCAGGGCCGGACACGAGCCCGTGACCGCTGCGGGGACCGTGGTCCCCATAGGTGGGGCACGCTAACCCGCTCGGCCATCTGCACGCCCCAAAGCTAAAACTTTTGAAAGTGTTAGACTCTATTGTGCGGTAATTCTAGGTAATCATGACATGAAAACATTATCATTAAGTTCATAGCTAATGTAATGTAATTGAGGAAGTGGTTGGAAGGCAGACAATTTGACTCCAGGTAATGCTAGAGGTGGCTTTAAGCTAAATGCTACTCACAATGTGCGCTAAGAATTAGCTTAAAAAATTTGCAGTTTTGTAGCTGTCGCTTAAAGTGCATCAAACATGTTTAGGGGTGTCCTGATACAACTTTTTTACTTCCGATACAATACCGATATTGTAGCCTTCAGTATTGGCTGATACCGATATTGATCCGATACTGGCACAAAACTTGTGAATAACAAGTTTTGCACTCAGCAGCTACGTCTTTTTCTGACTTAAAGGAAAAATACTGCCACAAGGCTGACATCACTCCTACTCCTTGCTACTTTGTTAGTACCTTAGTACACACTGTTGTTGTGATTACGTGGGCTCTGTATGCTGGATCCGGGCGCTGTTAGACAGAGGTGCCGGAGCGGAGTCTGGAAAAGACTGCTTGCATCAGAGATTTTAGATGCAGGCCAATGTAATCCGATATTCTTTTTTTTTCTGGTGATATTGGACCAATATCCGATGTTGACATTGGATGGGGACATCCCTAAACATGTTATTTTAAGTTAGAGTTCAAGTTTCACTGTTTATCATCTTCTCAGTAACTCTTTAACCAGTAAGCAAAAAACTCAAGCCACAGTAATGAATTCATAAAGCACACATACAACAAAAGAGCAAAAAACAATTAAAAAACGTGCACTGACTTCTCCTTAGCCATGCACATTATATTGGACTTCTTCTGTAAAGCTCTGTCTGAACCTCAGTGACCCCGCAGGATGAGATCCCTTCAAACAGATTTTGCTGCAGCTGCTACATCGTGGTGCTGCTTCACATTTGTTTTAAGAACAAAGAGGGCGGGAGGAGTAAAGATGAAAAAAGAAAGATACAGAAAAGGAAGGAAAATGTCCCCTCTCAAAGTTGTGCTTGGGAGTGCCTGATTAAAGAGTTTTTTATTTCCATCTTTAGACGAGTAATCACTCCAAAGAAAGCAGCCAGAGATGACTCAAAGGGCTCCCATGTTTAAGTTAACTTGAAAGAGGGACATGAAAGGGTTGCACGGCATGATGTGAAGTGAACAGTCTTCGTGAGGAAACATTCTCAGTTTAGTCAGAGAGGCAAGGCACTACAGGTGAAGAGTGCAGAAATCCTTTTATCCATACATGGTGAGTGACGGCATTCATTCCTGCAGATGTGGGAAGATCTTTAGATGAAACTCATGCAGGTTGCGTGCCGGGTTTGCATCACTGACATGTATAGAAAACAAAAACAGCACACATCACAGGAGTACTTAAAAAGGTTGAATATATTTAGATTTGGAGTCCATGAAAAATTACATATGAAAGCTCTTACAGAACTTTTATACAAGTGGTTGCAAAATTCTCCAGAGGACAGATTGCTCTTGCTCTTGTGGCTGACTGGAAATCAAGACATCAAATCTCTCGTGTGAGATTTTTTTTTTTTTTGCATTGTCACCTCCGGGGGCTTCCAAGCAAACTAGATTTGCATGGTTTATATATAGTGCCATATGTAAATACAGTGCAGGAGCAGCTGATTAATACAACAATGCAAGAGAAGTTAACATTTTGTATGGACACAACGTTTGTACCACAAAGGTGCAGGGACAATTGACCTTTCGCAAAACCATGCCCCCAAATGGTCACTGTCCAATCACACAGCCTAGCAACTGTTGCTATGTAAGCAGGGTCCGATAAGCCACAGACCACGAGCGAAATGGTGAAGCGGTGTGCCCATGGCGTGTGCATGTCAGACACTTGGTACTGCAAGAGTTTGGCTAGGGGAATCATTTTCTTTCCCTTTCCAAAGCCGAAAACACAGAAGGAGCATTGTCCACAGTGGATAAAACAGTGTGGAAAGGCCCCCACTCCCAGCTCACGAAAATAAATAGGTATGGCTAAGCAAGGCTAATGCCATAGATAGCTAACTGTTTTGTCAGCTTACATCAAAGTTTAACAGAACGTCCCAACAGACAATTTAAACTTATTTTGTTTTTTATCTTTCATGTAACATTTTGTGAACAGGAAGCCTACTCCTGAATATCACAACCCTGTACTTGCAGTAGAAGTGTGGAACATAGATGCAAGAATGTAATGCACTTAGTTCTTAAAAACCATCTCTGCAGAATTATCAAAACCTAAGATGACTTGAGTTGTAACAGTATTCGATTTGAAGAGTGTCACCACCCAAAAAAATATGTCAATCTCTGGTTTTACTCAAAAAACCAAAATCATTGCAATGTAAGTTAAAATAACCCTTCAAAGGACTGAAAATAGTATGTTTTGACTGTGTCCATTTGTCAACACACGCAGGGACAAAAGAAACGTCAAAATAATGATATTTGACAGATTCAATCATCTACAAACTGGATAACCTGCCACTTGAAGTTTTTATAGAGTAGAGGAAGAAAGATGCAAGAAAAAGTGTGTGGATCCCACTACTACTCCAAGGTGATTCTTGCAGACGAACTGAATCACACTGCAGCTCTTTGAAGTGATGCCAGCGTCTGACTGTAACTCTACAGGAGGGCATCAGTGTGTGGCATTACACACCAGCATGAACATATAGGGGCTCTGCAAAAAAAAGATACCTCCAGGGATCAGAAAGAGACCACCCCCTTCACAGCCCACCCTATCACAAAAAACACACATACACATCAGGCAGGACCACCCCTGCTCTGCACTACCTTACACACATATACAACCAGCAGCAGCACACATGTGATTCATTAGCAAGGCGTTCAAAGTGCCAAGAATAGGGAGCCATTATGAGTCAGTACCATTAACACTCAGAGATGAAAAGTGTGTGTGTGCGTGTGTGTGTGTGTGTGTGCTTAGACCCAAGGAAAACTCTTTAAAATGCTGCTGACGAACATTAACTGCCTCCACTCGAGCTGAAAGAGGAGTCGACATGTCAGCCGTACAGTATGTGTGGTCCTTTCACTGACTATCTGAGGCTTTTACTTTGAAGGGGCCTTTTGTTATAAAGTAACACTGCTGGAAATAGACTGCTTTGGGGCTTAAGAATTGGCGGCTGTACTTAAGATTTGATGTGAGGTGATGAGATGTAGACAAAAAGATGTTTTTTTAAGTTCATTGCTGTCTATTTAGTTCAACCAAAATAACAAGTTAGTCACTCTCTGCCCCTTCTTTGAGGTTCAACCTGTACAAACATAGTTAACTAGCACCTATAGTTTTCTATTTGAAGAAAACTGATAATGGACATGGTGAGCATTTTGATGTAGATATAACATCTGGCTTTATTTACTTAAATAACTTTGGCAGGGTTTAAATAGAACTTGTGTAGTCTGCAGCTTGAATCATGAGAAAACTCCTGGTATGGGAACCCACCAGCTGCTCTACACTTTCAAAAACTGTTTAAATTTAGCAAAGAAATTCTCATTTTTAACTGGTTTATTGTTTCATGATTGACATATGCATATCTGTGTCAGATCTTCCAGAAGAGAGAATTATATGTAACCAAACTAACATCAACTAAACTCCTACAAAAGCTGCTGTATGCTGCAATAAGCCACAGAGTAAGGTTTATAACTTGATGGCAGATAAACGGACAGCAACGAATGTTACGACAAGTCATTTGCATTTTCGTCAATGCTACATGCAAACAAGTGGTTGTGTAAACATCTTCAGTGTTCCTGGTTTCTTCAGCCTTTGACATTTTATGCTGCCTTGTCATGTGCTGCTTTCATAGGTCACATGACAAAACTGTCCTCACTCCTACCTGCTCATTCATGGTGAATTTTGCGGAATATTTTGTTATATATTTAGAAAAAGAAAGTCTCCATAAAGACAAAGTAAACATCTATCTGTATTCACACATGCAGCCCTGAAACATTTTATAAAGTTTAAAGGTAGTTTGCCCATATGGCTTAAAGGATCTTTTTTATACATTGTCTAACTACAAATGCCATTTTTGGGGCATAATGTTTAGCATATCAGTTCAAGAAAATCAGTCCATGTGGAGAGTAAAGTAGGCTTAACAAACACCAACATAATCACATCCTGGTTCCCATCAGCACTAAGCTAACATTGTTTTTTATCTTGATTTTTTTTATTTGGCCAATTTGATGCGTATATATTATGAGTAAATCACAAGGAAATAGACTTAATTTTAGAGTTCTTATCAATGAATTGAGCAAGGGTGGAGCGTCTGTGTGTAAAACCTGGTTTCAGGTACTTGAAACACATGAATGGACAGTATTTACATTGCAGACAAAACTGCAGCACTGAAAGGAAATCTCTGCTTGAGTTTGTTTTCATAACCTCTGGGTTTACCTGAATTACTAGAAAGTTGGCATCCAAATGCAGGGGGATGTGTTAACGCTCGTCAGATGATGATGGATGATGGTTGCCAACGGTTCCAAGATTGGTTTAATATTTAATAATCATCTGGTGGAAGAATTTATTGTTATCTATCTTATACGCTGCAGGTCAAAGCAAGAACACCAGCTCAAAACACACATGACGCAATGACTGTCTTCAACTGTTTCTGGTAAAACTAGCAACTTGAGATGCAATAGAGTTCAAGTCAGAGTTCAAGTCAACAATTACTTTGTTAACTGTATTAGCATACAGAAATCCTCCTCGAGAATAAAAACAAGTGAAACTGTTGTATAGTGGACGACAGCTGAGGTGTTTGTGTGTGGATTTTATCTATTGGGTTTTAGTCTTTGCTTGTCACTGATGGTTTCCCTGCAGACAACAAAAACCTGCTCAAAAATAGCTGATCAGCCCAGCTTAACAGAGATAGTGAAGGGCATGCACCAAAAAGTGCATTTCAAGTTATTTTGGGTTGCAAAGAAGCTGATGCAGGCATCTGGAAATATTTTTCAATGTATCATTGCAAACTTGTGTGGAAAGGCTGCAACTAATCATCTATCATCTAAAATCACAACACATTTTTTAATCAGAGAGACTCATCACGGCCATAGTGATCATGGCAACATTGAATGTTAAGATGCAGCTAAAAGCACCAAAACTTTAGCTTTCTACCTCACAAAGACTGCCCTTAACATGCATACTGCAAATGTAGCACACATGCACAAGGACCTGCTTTATTATTTACCAAAATCCAAATTTACTTTAAAATTTGATTTACCAGAAGCACTTACAGTGATTATGCTCAAATTGTCCTTTATGCCTTCTGCCTGGCGTCAGTCTGACTTTATATATAACAAGCTCAGAAGAGAGGAGCAGCAAGTTGTGGAAAGACGATATTTGCAGTCTAGACAGATGTCTGCTGCTTTGAACAAAAGAGAGTTCAAAGAGTTGCAGCCTGGCCACAAGCCAGTATATTGGTTGTTCTCTCACACACACACACCCTACTCTCTCCTCTCCCTCTTCTCAGCAGGCAGGAGTTTCCCAGTCTGCAGGCAAAGCTAAAAGTAGCCTTCTCACACTTTCTGCTGCCAGTCAGCACTTTCCCAGCTCAATGAAAAACGGTCTCCTGCTTTAACTTCAACACGACCCCACATTAAGGCACACACTCAACAGATCTCACCAGTTCATGTGCACTCTGGTCGTGTGTTGCTATAAACAATGGCCTGTCCTGACTTGGTGAGCGTGCTTATCAAACTCAGTAATACTGAGTCGTCATCAGTTCTGCTGCTGAGAGAAGCTGGATTGTGTTTATGAGCCACGGGGAGAGACAGTGAGTGTTGGTCTGGGAGAGAGAAAAGGGTGAGGCAGGGAGGAGACGCTGAGAGCTCCCACTTGCTCGCTCTGTGAGAACCACCAGAATGACATCACCACTTTCCCACCAGGAAAGAGAAAACGGTCTAAAGGACGGTGGCTGCCCTGGTTTCCGTCCTCACTGAAAATATCACAATGATTTTGTTTACCAAGAAAAACAGAAACCATAGAGACAGGAGGACGCTGAAGCCCTCTGCACCACAAAGTCCATTAAGGCCTTGGTGTGCCTTTATGGGACATGCCAAGAGCTGCTGCAAGCTTAATTTGTGCTCTTGCTTCTCTTTAATCTCTGTTAGTCGGCAGAAAAAAGTGCAAACTAAAGTGGGTCTGAAATGATAAATCATTACCAGCAGCTCAGAGAAATCTTCTGTGTTAGATAAAAACTGTGTGTCCAGATCGCTGGGAAAAATATACAACTCCATTATTTCCTGTCAATGCAGTGTCTGTTTGTGTCTTCATACAATTAAGTATTGTGTTTATAATCTCTGCTCTTGTATTGTTCATTCATACATGTAGCCTTCAGCTCACAGATTGGGTTTCTTGGTAGATCTGTTGTTAGGTCTAAGAGTAATGTTGCGTCTTCTCAACAATAAGGCAACAGCATGATAAAGCTCAGAAACAAGGCCAACATGACTGCTTTGTTATAACCCAGTTGTTATAAAAGTCGTATCTATTATGATCTCCATGTTCTGAACACAGACCTGTCCCACAATGCATTTGGTAAATAAAGTAGACATATTACATAAGTGTCTCAGAGGAAGTTTGCAAATTCAGGATCACATTTGATCCTCTGATATCTCCATCTGTTGTCCAACTGTCTGGCCGGTGTATTTAAAACACAAGAGCAATTGTTTGTATCCGTTTTCTATCACTATTCATTTAAGCCTTTCTCTTCTTCGGTCTTCTATCTGCTCTAATCTCTTTGTTGATTTTGTCATCTGCATGCGCACATGACATTCGCTAAAGCAAAATCTTCCTCTGTTTCCATTTAAATCCAACATATCACTGGCTGGAAATGTAAACACTGACTCTATGGCTGGACTGTTTTATACAAAAGAGGATTAGGGCCACAAGAAGAGAAAAAAAGATCAAAAAAGATTTGGATACTAAAGTCGAAATTTCAAGATTAACAAACCAAAATTATGTCAATACAGTTGAAATTTCGAGATAAAAAATTGAAATGTTGAGATAAAAGTTGAAATTTCAAGAGTAAAGAATTTAAAATTTCGAGATTAAAGTCGAAATTTCACGAACAAAGTCGACATGAATGACGTCGAAATTTCGACTTTTTAAAATTTCGACTTTTTAAAATTTCGACTTTTTAAAATTTCGACTTTAATCTCGAAATTTCAATTTGTGGCCCTGTGTGGCCCTAATCCTCTTTGTAATTTTAAGCACTTGTCTGTATCTGATCTGATGAAAATATCGACTGGGATTGAGAACAATTTAATATCAATATTTAATCTTTTTGTTAAGGTTATGGCACAAAGGCATCAGTATGAAATTTTGTCTGTTTTCTTACCTGTTCAAAACTCCTTATACTGAGCTAATTTGTTATTTGATAATCATGAAATGATAAAAGCCAGGAATGTGGTACCCAAGTTCAGGACACAGGCTGGGACAATGACTCAATCATTGGTTGCATTTGGATTTGGGTTAGGGTTAGGTAAAGTCAAGGTAGAGTACAACTCTGATTTTTTTATTGAAGACTTTTGTTGTTTTTGTTAGCTTTTTAGCATTTTAGCTTAAGTCCTAATGAAGTGACAGGCAGAGCTGGTTTGTGAGTTCACCTGCATACACATCTTTAAGTTCTGTACCGAACCAAAAAAAGAGAAGACAATTTTCCTTTTTCACATTACTTATCATGTTACAGCATAAACTGTATTAAACATGGATGTAGTCTAAGGCTGCACGATATTGGAAAAAACTAACATTGCGATTTTTTTCAACCCTGCGATATATATTGCGATATTAAAAATACAGGAATTTTCACCAGATGACCTGAATAGCACTTAATGTTATGCTGCACTGCTGAAATCTTGAGGACAGTTAACCTGCTCTGATCTTGCCTCTTTTTGTGAATGTTAGAATGGCTTCTGTCAGAGATATTTTTAGCTTTTATTGTGCTGGGACGTTATTGTGGCGACAGATGAACACAGAACACGTGTTTTGGTCGACATCATCCTTCTTTTAGCCGAAATAATTCCAGATAACTGACTTTCCTTTTCTTTTTGGCAAAAAGTCTACATTTTCGGTGGTTTTCTCTTGTTCGTTGCTCATTTTGCAATCGTTGTTGTTGTTGTTAAGGGTGTTGTGCTGAGAAACGCATGTCCTCCGAGATTGCATGCACCTCGCAAAACGCGCACTGCTTATCAGGGCTCTCAAGTCTCACGCATTCAGCGTGTGATACACGCATTCCCACCCGTTCACACGCTCACACGCCACACATTGTATTTCTCACGCATTTAAATGAACATGGTGATGTCCACCAAGTTGCACCTCTTTAACTATGGAACAGGTAGGAATCAACTGAGTTCCTCCGAGAGTTCAGAAGCTGCGTGCCACGCCAAGCCAATCAAATAAAGTATATCTACTGAACAGCCAATAAAAAAGCAGCATTGCTGTATCCGGGTAGATTTTGATATCTTACGGTTTGACTACAGAAGAAGACAGACACTCGCCGAAATAAAGCAGGGTTTTATAAGGACGAGATAGACCCGATGATTACAGTAAGTCAGTAACCTACACATGCAGAGACCTCAACACCTCATGGCATACAAACTCATATGATAAACTAAGGCCCTATGCTTTTGCTATTAACAGCTGTATTGAAGGATTTAGCCTCTGTACAGCCATTTCCGGCCATTTTCCCCTCCACAAAAGCAGCATTTCTCATATATCTCAAATATAAGTTCTGATACTCATGACAGTGTTATGCTCATGTACCAAAGGATTAAGTATCTCCATGTTTGTGAAACCTATACTAAAGTAAAATTCATCTAAATGCTCCACAGTGCTGATTTTAACAACTCTCCTTCACAGCAGGTAACTTTACGACTTAATACTTATATATTAATGACTTTATTCTCCCAAATAATAACTTTATTCTTTAAGATTTAAAAACGTTTTTTTTTCTAATTGTGCCCCTTATACTCCGTTGTATTTAAGAGATAATTATACTAATAATTATCTTCAATCACCCCCCCAAGGAAATCTCACTCTAAGCTTAGTTCAAAACTTGAGAGCCCTGGCTTATAGTAGAGTGGTCCACGGAAATATACATTTTAAAACCCATACAGTTCTTATTTGTTGGGCTTAACAGTCATGAGTAAAGTTCCGAAAGTAATTCTCAGCGGACACGCGTTTCTCGGCTCAACTCCGGTAGCGACTCCCTCCATGTGCAGAACATGTGCAGGGGTGGGTTTCCTCCTCTCTGATTTTGATTGACAGCTGGCAGGGTAGTCTGATTGGCAACTGAGAACTGAGTCTGGTTGGCAACTGAGTAAAGGACGAAGGTGATTGGTGGATCGCTGCACAGCACATGCAGAGTCACATGCAGTGTATCTCAGTCAGCTACCCTTGAAATTAATTGAGTTCATTCACCTCCGATATCGCAGGCTCTGCGATGTGACTATCGCACACACGTACATCGCGATGACGATGTTCAAACGATATATCGTGCAGGCCTAATGTAGTCTCAGTAATACTGCCCATGACTCCTGAAAGAGAGCTGTGAGCCATATTGGAAATGCTGACTCAACCAAATTTTCAGTCAACTTTGGAAGAGGCAAAGAGCTGGAGTTGAAGCAGGCCCTTTAGCCGTCTGTCAGTCAAGTAAGCCACGCCCCCTATTCTGCCAAATTTGTACCCCTAAATCTTTAAAACTGTTAAGTTATACAACTATTAACCCCCACCCAAGCACTGTGTACAACATAGATGAACTATTCAAACCAAAATGTTTTTGTACCAGGCCGTGAATATGTTTACATTTGTTATAAAGATGGGCTTTTTTGAAAGGGTGAGTGTGTGTCTTCTGGAGTTTCTGGAGCCAGTCTCAAGTGGACACCAGAGGAACTGCAGTTTTTAAGACTTCAATATTGTGTTGGTATCATTTTACAAGACCAGGTGTCACATCTTGTTTAAACACACAAAGGGCCAATTTGTCTCCAGAGAAGAAAACTGAAGAGATAACCTTGGACTAAATTTCTACAGTTTGAGACCTTAAACGGAATAATTGAAAAACGAGCACATCACAAATCCATTTGTCATTAATAAGTTGTGTTCTTGGTAAAAGTTCCGTTAATGAAGGCTGTTTATTGAATATGGACATGCAAATACAGCCCGCAGTGAAGCACACATAGCCAGACTGTGCTCTTTAAGTACAACTTCATGGAGACTCACAGCTGCAGCACCACCCAGAGCTGCAGGTATGGCTGCTGAGATAACCAAATCTTTCTCTACCCCGCCCAGGCCACTGATCGCACACTCAGTGTAAAGGGAATACTGGGAAATTCTGTGCTCTCTAGGCCTGCCTGCAAAGACTGCTCACCTGTGATTGGCTGAGGGTTTTTTTTCATAATTCCTGTGTAAGCAAATGTTTCCTGGAAAAACGGCCGGGCTGTGCAAAGGTTAACGGAAAGTTGTCTTGATTTAAACATGTGCTGGTATAAATAACACATGAGGACGTTTCAGTTTCCCTTAAACCCCTGCACAGTACGTTCTCTGGATCTGGAAAACTGCAGCACAATCCTAAAAAAATGTTGTGGCTAGACAGTATGAAAAAAAAAACAATCTGGCATATTGTAACACAGTGTCTA